AGGTTTTTATTTTAATGATGTTGTACTTGTATTATCAGAGTCTGTGATATCTAAAAAATTAGCAAAGTAATATTTGCAAATCTCTGTATCAATTGTGCTGTCTAATATATCTTGCTTTTACTTACAATTCATTAATGTTATTAATTTATGTCACTGTAAAAATAATTTCTTGATTTAACTACTGTAACTCCAAGTAAAACAGCAAACATTCCACAAGTTCTTGGGTTTTATTTTATTTTTTTAATTGGGTATTACCTACATTTTTAATGTTAAAATTATAAATTTGTCAAGTATTATGATTAAACAATTAACTTAGATGATACTATTTTCTGAATGATTAGCAAAAATGTTTTGTAAGACATTTATTTTTATTTCTGAACAATTATCACTTGTATGTAGCAGCCATATTTTACATTTGATACCTGTGTTATCTAGACTGAGAATGAATCAGTTTCAAATTTATTAATTTGATTAAAACTTTTGTTTGGAATAATACTGGCTTTGTTTTAAATTTATTTATTTTAATTTAAGCATCAAGCCATTATGTTAAAATTTGTATGTCTGTATAACAACCAAAATCACTCATGGATGGCATAAATGCCATTAGGGTTAAGATCTCCTTAAAGATAATTTAGTTACTTAATAATAATTGTGTTATTATTACTATAAACTTTATTTTTAAACATAGTTTTATCATAATTATCTATGTATCACATACTACACAATGTCACTCAAATAAACTTAAACTTTAAATTCAATACAGGTTAACAAACGAATTACAAAAATTTTTTTTGTCTGAATGTGTCATTTCTTCTAATAGAATTTACTACAACTGTGAGGTGTATTTTTATTTATTTCTCAAAAAAGTGTGCACATTATATCTAAAATTTTTATAAGATCATGTCTTTACTTGAAAGATGAACACTATTTCATTCACAAAACAAGGAACACTTACATTAGAACAGATTTTCACTCAGTTAGTTAAATGGGTTAGATCTTAATAAACTGTTGAGTAGCATGAAGATAAAACTTAAAAGTTAATATTTTCCTAAATTGAAAATATATTTCCAGTAATACTTACCTCCGCTGACACTACAGCTATTTCTTGATCTCCAGTGTTTTCACTCTTTGCCCATCTAAGCATTGAAATCGCTTGCTCCAGTCTTTATATACCCCCCTCGAATACCCTCGTCAAATTCAAATTTGCAAATTTCTCCACCAACTTCAATGCACCCTCTATCTAGGTACTGTATATAAGCATCTCATTCAGATAATATAGTCACTTTTTCAAGACATAAACCAGCTTTTAATGGGGAGGTAGGGCAGGAGAGTGTCAGTGGAGGTAAGTATTATTGGAAATACAATTTCAGTTCAGGAAAATGTTAACTTCTAAAACATACTTACCTCTGCTGACACATAGCTAGAATCCCACAATGATAAGGTGGAGGGGCCAGTGCAGACATGAACCATACAGAAAGCGTCTGTATAGAACAGAAGTGAACCAAGATAAAAATAGTACAAGAGTGGGGGAACTGCACTACATTCAGAGCAGGTATGCTCTTCACCAGGAACTAAGTTCTTAGATCAAAGGTGGAATAGAATATGAGTAATCCTCAGTATAAGCCAGCCCCAACCAGATAGCCGAGGTTCCACAACTTGGGGTTGGAATTAAGGAGTCATGGTACTGAAATCCCACATTGGTGGCTAGGGTTATAGGAATGCAGTATTATATATACTTTTGATTGGATCCCAACATTAACCATAGAGTAATGTGTCATGAACCAGTAGAATCCCAGTTCGGTAACTGAAAAGGTCATTTGGGTTGAAGAATATGAAAGGATTTGAGTATACCTGATAGTACTGAGGATTCAAAAACCTTCCAAATTTAGAATACCAAAAAATAGTGGATAAGGATGCCTTATATAAAGCTACTGTAGACGAAGCATGACCCCTCTCAAATACCCATGTCAGAAAACGGGATATGGTAGATACTCTAGGACAAAGAGGATTTAAGTTCCTTTTAATACACCAGTGACAATAAATATTCCATTTCCGTTGATAAATGGCAGTGGTTGGCCTATGGAAAGATTTAATTAAATACAGAGAAGTCTTAGAAGTTAAACCCTTATGTGAAACAAAGGACTGCATAACATCCAAGTACGAAGACTGAGTTTCCGAACATCTGGGTGGAGAATTATCTTATCAAGGTTGTCTCAACAGAGACTGCCAGTGTGGAAAGATAGAGGTGGACATTCCTGCAGATATCGAAGAAGCAGAAACCACATTTGAGCTGGCCAATATGTTACAACTAATAGAACTTGACAGGGAGTGGAATGAACCATGGTTAGAAACCAGGACAATAGCCAAATTGGGGGAAAACCACACAGATGTAAACCTGTCCAGTCCTGACTGAATGCATCTACTGCCAATGCCTGAGAATGAGGTATCAGAAACCAAAACAACTTGACAAGGAGTGGAATGAACCATAGTTAGAAACCAGGACAATAGCCAAATTGGAGGAAAACCATACAGATGTAAACCTGTCTAGTCCTGACTGCCAATGCCTGAGAATGAGATATCAGAAACCAAAACAACCACAGTTGAGAATTCCAATGAGTTGCAAAGGCATTGATCACTAGAGACCCAAACTAAGAGCAAATCCACTGAAAAACCTTGTGATGTAGTATCCATTCCATTGGAAGAATCTGGTTGGGTTGAGACAAGTGATCTGCAATTAAATTTATCACTCCTGGAACATGACATACTAAAAGACTGATACAATGAGCATGAACCCAGTAGAGAAAATCCAAGGTACGAAAACAAAGGTCTCGAGAATGTGTGCCTCCATGACAAGAAATCTGAGAAACCACTATGGAATTGTCAGAATGTATGATGACAACTTTCCCCTCAAAAGAGACATACCTTCAACCATAGCCTGGTATACAACAAGAAGTTCAAGAACGTTTATAAAAAGGGTAGGCGGGTCTTCTGTCCAAATACCCCTAGAACTTTTTACCTTAAAGATAAGCTCCCCATCCCTGAACAGATGCATCCCAACTCATCCTCAAATTGCTGAGAGGAACATTGATAGACTTCTGACAAAAGTCGGATTGAAGATAAATACCTCAGGTCAGTAGTGAGAGTAAGACAAATCCAAGAAAACTGTGACCTGTTCAAAGTTATCACAGGTTCCAATCTAGAGCCCCACAGGTCCAAAAAGGGGGTTCATCTGTTGAGAATCTAAATATACCTCCTCCTGGCAGTGATAAGCCAAAGCATGCTGTTTGGATAAATGTAGGGGACAAGGCATAGCTATTCCATTGTGTATCTGAGCAGAAAATCTCCCAGCATGAACAGCAATATCAGGAGAATGAGGAAAAACCAAGTAGTCACTTGCCATCCTTTCTACCAACATGGAAGGAGTAGAGTCAAATGCGATAGGAGAGACCCCCAAAACCTCACAAACCCAAGTAACCAACTGAAGAAAAGAGGCTGGAGATGGCTGATCCTCTGTTGAGGCTGACCTAGGAAATGGAGCCAAAAATAGCTAAATTCTCTCCAGCTGATCCAGAATCATTTGCAAAAGCTGCCCGAGAACTCCCCATAGAGACACCTTCGGTCCACAACATGTCTCCATCTCGCGACAGATCATATCACAGACAGCCTCGACTGAAAGCGACCCCTCCCCTGGCTGTTTACAGACATCAGATAGAAGAGGTGGAAGAGAATATGTCTGTTGGTCTCTGTAGTTAAAACATTAATACAGGAATTCATACCTGTCAGGATTTTTTTAATTAATTAATTTATAAATATAAGCAAAGATATAATCATAGTCATGCCAACTATATCCAAAGTCACAATGTAAATTATGTGAATAATCACAACACTTCTGTTTAGAGAAACCCATGCCAAAGACTTTGTTGAAAGAAAGTGATGACCTTACATGAATGAGGTACTTATATACAGTACCTAGATAAAGGATGCACTGAAGTTGGTGGAGAAATTTGCAAATTAGAATTTGCCAAGGGCATTTGAGTAGGGTATATAAAGACTGGCGCAAGCATTGCCAATGCTTAGATGGGCAAAGAGTGGAAACCCTGGAGATCAAGAGATAGCTATAGTGTCAGCGGAGGTATGTTTCAGAAAAATCAAGTCTATGGTTAAATGACAAGCACCATTTTGATCATAAAACAAAGGACACTTACTCTGTTAAAAGGGCCAACTCCCTAACACATCTGTTGAGTAGTCTGATGGGCTACTCACTAGGCTGTGAATGTCTATTAAAGTTAAAAACATGACTAATTAAACATAAAAAAGTTAAAATTAAACTAACTTTAAAAATGTAAATTAGTAAGCTATAAATTCTTTGAATTTACCTTGAAGATAGAACAATCCAGTAATAAGTCCTTAGCATGGCTTTATACATTGTTAAATTTTTCTTTGCAAAGTATTAGCTTAAACATTGGATCACTTCCACTTTGATGATATACATCTTCCTTTATTAAGAGTCAAATTTAGGCTTGGCAATCAGTAAAACTATTATAGTGTAAAGCTGCAGTTTACCTCCCTACTTAGATATCAAAAAATGAACTCCCTGGCAAATCAAATGTGAAGAAAGAATCAAAAATAAATTATATTTCTCAGCTAGTAAGGACAAAACAAGAGTTCTGCTCTTACAGCTCTTCGAAAAAGACGCATTGTTTCATTAGACATGAAACATGGATGATTCTGACTTCTTCCACATATTCTATCTACTTTTAAACAACTTTGTATCTCAATTTGTGGCTGTGAATAGCATGTTTTATTGGGTGTGAACATAGCCTGGAAACTTTTGTAGCAAGGGACAAAAGCTTCACAGTTGCAGTTGTTGATAAATGCAACTGATGAAATAGGCCTGCAGTAAAACAATTATTAGTGTCACAAATCATCTACAGTAGGATTTGGGCATGACAACAGCTTAGATTATTAATTTTGCCAACTACCACTTAAGGGAATGATGTTCATCTTCTAACAATCAAAAATTTACCAAAATCTTCAAAATCTACAAGATCTATTTCATTATTCTGTAAGATAATATATATTTTTTATAATTATGAAGTTCATTAGCATGCAAGATTGCTCAACATGAAAGGTAATGAAGCCCACTGGCTTCATTCTTTTTTTTTTCATTCATGAATAGTTACATTTTCCACTTTCTAAAACTATTCTATTACTTTTTTAACTATTAATTTTGTTAGTTCTATTTCAATTTTAAAAGTTTTCTTTGGTCATTGTAAACTCAAAAGTTAATTTTAAGTTTTTTGAAACTTATAACTTATTATGATGCACAAAATATATATATTTTTTAACAATAAAAGAGTTTATTGTTTACAACAGAAAAATCATAAAGGGAAAGAAATTAAGAACTGAAAGCTAATTTAAATAAGGTACTAAAATGCTTATATGCTTGTATATATATACAAATACAATAAATACAAAATATATAAATACAAGTGATAAATTTCAACATGCATTCTTAATTCATTATTTAATTCTAAAGATGTGCATGATTGTATTTTGAAAAGTATCTTGATATTCTTACACAATGATGGCACAAGAAGCTACTAAAAGTTAACATAGTTGTGTAATGTTCACTTATGATTCTCTAATATTAGTAGAATTTTATCTGGAATTTGTCTTTGTATTGTTGCGTCAGCGAGTCACATGACTACTGTGATGCCACGTTTCTAGAACTATCCTGTACTTTGGCAAATGCTCTAGTATTTACTAGATATAGGGTAGTCGGGTATATAAAAGAGGGGGACAACGTGACGCGGTAATGTGTGTTGTAGACAGTGAGTAATTGATCTGCAGTCAGAGAGTATTATTGAGCACGTTCGTTGTTATAGCGTTTGTTTTAGCGCGATTGTTGAAATTAAGTGTATCGTAAAGTTATATTCGGAAAGAATAAACCAGTTTTATTAAGTAAGGACTTGTGTCGCTAAAGTTTCGTCGGAACGAAGTTACGGAAAGTTAATTAACAAACGGAGACGTAACAATATCATAATATCATATTTGTGTGCATTTTTAATTCCGTAACATTTATATTTTATCTTTTCTGTTTGACATCAACTCGTTTCTTTAAATTTCATTAGTAATTATGTATCTGTTAGTTTATTTTTTACAATTATGTAATCAAACCCCCCATTTCATAGTGATATCGATTTATTTTTACAAATAGGTTTTACAAAATGTACTGAAACACTAAAGTTAAAAATGTTCAAAAGCCTTAGGGTTATGATAGAAGTTTTTGCATCCTAGCGCCACCTAGTATATCATCACTTTAGTTTTTAAGTTTCTTCCAAGTAACAACTTATCAAATTAAGTTATTTAATAAGAAATGCAATTAATTAATTTTACTTGCAGATCATCAATAATGCTTCAATTAAAACGTTGTAATTGCATTGAACTCCAAGATTTCTAGCTATCAAATAGAGCGTTGAAAATTAAGTAGCTTGTATTATTTAACGTTCATCATTTTTAAGTTTTTAATGAATATGAATTTAAACTTTTGTCTTCATTAAAAGTTCTTTTGACGGTTTGGGGAAGATTTAATTACCCAAGTTTTATTTTAAGATAAATACTCTGGACTTACTTGAATAAATACAGGAGGTTTCACTTCAGCTGCAATCACCGGAGCTTCTTCGAAACAGATTTCTTTCTTTGGCTTTGGAGGTACAGGAGAGACACTGCGTTCAGCTTCTGTGTCAGAAATAGCTATGTGTTCAGGTGGCAGTTCCTTCTTGATTATTGGTTTGGGTAAGGTATGAGAGGTTCCTTTCTGTAAGGGGAGGGAGGATTTCTGAGATTCTTGGGGAGCAACAAAACCAAATTTGGGGAAAGGACCTGGTTTCAGAACAGGGTCTGTTTGAGAAACAGCAACACATATGGAAGCAGATTTAGGTTTTTGGCGAGGTATAGTAGATGGGATATTTGGTGTGTGTTCAATCTTACTAAGCTGAGCAGGTAAGTAAGGAGAAGAAGAAAAGGTAGAAGGTGCTGGTGGTTCAGAATGTATTGGAGCAGAGTGTCTCCTTTGGTTACATGTTGGAGGTTGTACAGACTTCCATGTTGGTGTCTTTTCTGGTTGTCTTCCTGGGCTCCAAATAGGAATAAGCCTCAGTGGTTGGTCTTCCTTTTCTTCTGTGGTATTTAGTTTTGGAAAAAACTTAGAAGGTTTAGGGGGAGGTGGACCAATATATTTTGAAGCTTTTGGAGTTATGGGAGGTGGAAATTCTGCTTGAGGAATAACATGAACCTGTGGTTTAAGTGGATGCTCAACTTTTACAACTTTGGATGGTACCACTTCAGGCTGAGGTTTTAATTGAGTTGGAAATTTTTGAGTGAAAGGAGCTGATGGTTGTTGTATTTTTGGTTCTTCAACTACAGGAACAATGACTGCTGGCTTATGTTTCTGTCCTTCAAGTTTTTGTACTTTAGGTGCTCCAACAGCCTCAAGCTCGGGAGATGGAGACAAAACATCTGCTACTTTCTCAACTGGTTGAGGTTTTGCAGATGTAAGTGGCCCTGAAATCTTACTTTCTATCTTTGGCCCAAATATGGTTTCCTTGGGAAGCGGTTTTGGTTCTCTTACCCGGTGTAAAGGTTTCTGTATTGGTAACTTCTCTTGCTCACCCTCTTCAGTTTTCACTGGAACAAGTTTTGGTTGGGAAGTAAACACCTTTTCTGGTGTTGTTGGTAGAGGTCTGATATAGAATGGTTTTTTACTCTCATCAACTTTCTCAACCATCACAAGTTCTTGTGGGAGTACATGTACCACTTTCATAGTTTCCGGAGAAGCACCTTTTTCAGGCATGCCTTCAGGCCAAAACTTCTCACTAGGAGCAACAGGCATTGGGGATGAAGTAGGTGGTACTGTTTTAGTATGAATCCCAGCAGTATAAGGGGGTGCAGAAAGTACAGAAACAGGAAGAGTTGGGGGTGCAGTCACAGATGGCAGCTGAAGAGGCTCAGGGCCAGCAGACTGTGCCATAGAGACCTTAGTGACTAGCTGAAAACAGAGTGAGGACAGATTAGAGAGAGTGGGGTGTAAGGAAGCTGTTAAGTGCTTGAAAGAAACTTGATTTGACCAGTGTTCTTGTTTAGATAAAGAGTGTTATAAAGATTTTAAGTTTAATGTGAAAAAAGTAACCTGCCAAATTATTAAAAATACACATATTTATTGATGAGATGTTGATATTAATTTATTTTCAAGTAAAAAAAGGTATTAACCAGTAAATAAAATTGAAATGTTTAAAGTATTTATTTTTGGTATATACTGGTGCACTATTTGTATGTGTCTGTATGTATCTGTACAAATTTGTATAAACATGTTCTCATTTCCAAATTTGATTTTGAGAAAAAAAGACTTAATATGAAAGAAATCACAAAGAAGTGGAAAATTGTTATAGTGCAGTAGGTTAAAGAACAGCAAGATAAAAAGCAAGAGAAATGGCATGCCATTCATACATGCAAAACTCATTCTTAGTCTGCTATATTAGTACATGTATGTTAAATAAGTTAATCAGTGCCTTAAGCAAGTTTCAATAAATCTCCCTTCCAGAATAATTTCTAACACTGTTTAAAAAGCATACTTTTTCCATATATCTTGCTTTTGTCTCATATTATGATAATTTTTTGTGAAAGCATCAATGGGAAGAGGAATTATTTTTCAATTACTACCAAAAAAAAACAACTGATTTCATTTACAGTAAACGTATATTTTAACAACCCCAAACATAATAGTTAATACAACTTAAAAAAAAACCCTTTTGAAACTTAACCTTAAAACTTATTCTAATCCATCCAAGTAGCATTTTGCCATGATTTGTAATAAAATACAAAGTTTTTTATTTTACAAATAATTGATTTGAAAAACTGGAATTCAAGAATTTTAGATCAAGCTAATATAGGAAGTGTTTCTAGTTGCTTTTATAAAAAAACACCAATAATTATGCAGAAGATTAAGATGTTTCAAAATAAGCAACAATGGTAACTATATGGGCCTAACAATACGGACACTTAATAGCTTTAGAGCTTATCTCGTTGGATATAAATGTGAAGCTATACCTATTTATTAGCTAAGGATTTTTGCTAACGAAAAACTTACATCTATGTAACAAATAAGCTTTATTCTTTATATATGTAACAGATCCTTTAAAAGTATTATTGAAAATTGACACACTGTTCAACCTACACATGTTGTTGCATGTTGAATGTGTCATTTGTAGATCAACATCACTTATCTTTGATTGTAGCTATTGCCAACTCATATATGCTAAATGATTTTTAATGCTATGTGTTGTTTTTTTAGTACAATATTTTTATAAGAGCAAATACTTTGAGCCATATTCAATTATTTCATAACATCTTTTCTCCTCAGATCCTGTCAATAAACAGAAGATTAAAATTTATATGATTCTGAATTTTAATAACACAGTTATAAGTTTGATATTGTCAAATGAATTAATTTGGATGTTTTTCACTCCCAAACACAGTATTAAATACTTGTCAAACAGTTTTATTTTTTTGTTTTGTTATCAAATGTTATCATTTTTCTGAGTGTATTTAATAACATGTAAACTTCATGATAATTTTAAAGTTAAGTATTTTCATTGAAGTATAGAGAAATACAAAACTATAATTTTGTAGTCAACCTCATAATACAGGAAAGCTATAAAGTAGTCAGCAAATTCTAGTTGTATTCATAGTGTCCACACGAGTCCTTTATGCAAGAGATGATAAATCATACTGTATTTTTATAATTGTATAGTTTTTATCAGGGTTAATACAAAACTGATGAATCAATTTTTACTTTTTTATGAGAATAATCTAGGCTTCAAAGTCACAGCAAAAAGTATTTGGACAGACTACAATTCAACTTATTTACAGTGTGAACTGAAAAATTAACTTGAAACACTGTACACAACTCCAACACCTATAGCTATGAAAGAAAAAAAAAAAAACATTCCTCGTGCAAATGTTACAGTTTGTTACACCCACCAGAGTGGTGTGAAATTAAGATCCATGCAGCACATTCCCAAAAAAAACAAAGGACAAAAAGAAACCTATGTGCAGTGCTTTTTTTATTGTACAAACCCAACATACAACATACACCTGAAGCATGCACTACAGTTCCAACTATATGTCACAGATAGAACAGTTAAAAGATGTTCATAATACAATCCTTTTTTTTTCTTTGAAAACACAAGCAGTATCATATTAAAGAAGCCTAAGATCCATAATAAACTATTTGAAATAAGTCCAGTGATAGGTTGCAGGCAGTCTCACCTCTTTCTTTTGTTCTACTACCGAGAACTCCTTATACGTCACTTTTTGATCCACTTCACCAAGATCTTCTTCCACAATTAAATTTGCTGTGCTCTGAGCTTCACCAACACAATTAGTAGCCTTCACAGTTAAAGTACAGGTATCATCAGGAAAAGCTTCTGGAATAACTAATAAATGTTTACTTCCCTCTGACTTCAGTCGAAAATCTGGTGAATTTTTAACAGGTTCATTGTTTCTGTACCATGTTACTTCTGGGAGAGGATCACCTGCCACTTCAATATCAAGTTCAATTTTTTCCCCTGCTTTTACAACACAAGCCTGTAGTCGTTTAATGAACTTTGGTGGTACTCTGTGAGCTGAAATGGTCAAAGTGGTAATTATTAACACTGGAAAGCAACAGGAACTAAAACTATATTATTTAATATTATTGGTATCATTTTCATAAATGTAAAGTTTCTACTACAGTTAGCATAAGGTTATAAAAAGTCATGAATTTATACATGAAGCATAAAAAATTGAATTACCTTCAGTATAATAAACTCTGTAAATTAAACCAGACTTTTCATCCAGAACAGTTTCTCTTTGTGTAAAGCAAAAATTGGAATGGTAATACTAGGTTACATTTTACTAATAAATAAAACGAAAAAACATATTTATTAAATATTTGAAAGGTCAATAATTGAAGACCTTGTATCACACTACTTTTTTACAGTTTATTCCAGAAAAGTCTGAAAACCTTACAAAAAATTTAGAAACACTGGTTTATTTCATTTGAAAATATTTTCTTCTTACTGTAACATGTTGTGCCAGTCAAATTTGTTATCCCACAAAGTTACTGTAACATATGCTACACCACAAAGTTACTTTATAACTTTATAAACCACAAAGATAGTCATACATGCTACACTATATTATAAAGTTAATGTAAAATTTACAAATTTAATGAATAATTTTTAATTTTGTTCTTTTCGTATATATATTTTAGGATTTTATTTTTTGCAAAAGAACAATAAAAACATAATTTGTCTTTTCAAATGGTCAATATGTACAACGTTAACGTCAAATAAAATTAAAATCTTCGCTAATTACTATCTAACATCATTTATCTGTTTAACTTACGTTTAACAACAACTTCTGCCGTGCTTGTTGCTTGTCCAGCTTCATTCGTGGCAGAACAGGAATATCTGCCAGAATCACTCTCAGTCGCCTTCGGTATAAGCAGAGATGCTTTTCCTTTAGTCAAAGATATCAAAACCTCTGGTTTAGAGTGAAGTTCCAAATTATTTTTAAACCACTTGACAGTTGGTTCTGGATTTCCTGGGAAGAAAAAAAAAGTTACATATTAAAATTTTATTTTTACATTTTTTACTTAATGTAAAAAAAACATTACTTCTTTAATGGTACAGTAGTAAACAACTTAAGAAATGCATTGCAAGGTAAAAACATAAATTGTCTATTGCAAAGTTTTGTATTAGTATGAAAGTATTAAAAAATAACACGATTACCTTACACAGAAAAAGTCTTCAATGTTCACGCTTCTAACACACACACACACACAGAGATATTGGATTATCAGTACAACAATATCAAGTGATGAAATTATCAAGTTACCTAGACAATTAGAATTGAGAGTGTAGTAAAAAACAAAGAAATTTTGGTGAAGTTATCTTTTAATAAGATGGAAAGAATTACCTTCAATATGTCCTTCTAAACAGACCTTCTCTCCCACTTCAACTAGAGTACTTGAAACTGGCTTCAGAAACCGAGGTGCTATGTATTTAGGTGTGCTGGTAGAGAATTTACCCCAAACTGCTGCAGGTCCGGTTGTGACTGCTGGTGTATCCATATTTAGAACTGCAGTGGTAACAACTGTCTTTGTTGGTGTGCTACGATCCACCTGCATGTAGAAAGGTATGTTTCAGTAACAACGATTAAATGGTAATTTTTAACTAAAATGTTATATAATAGGATATGAAGTACATTAACATTTAATTTATTATACTGACACCTACATGCAGTTCTATACTCTGGGATTTTACATATATTTCAGAAATTATAGCATATATGCCAAGATCTTTCTCATGACTTTATATCCTATCCTTATGTATCAGTTTTTGACACATTTAATCTTTACATTATTCATTAAGATAAAATATACATGGAAGATTTTAAATATCAGAACTTCAGGTTATCTGAAAATCTGACTGACCACCGAATTATCAATTTGTTTTTGCAAATTATATGATGAAGCTATCACATTTAAACTTTTTTTTTTTTCATGTAGCATTATTTCAATTTCTAGTTTGACATCTTACAATCATTTTTTTCTGTGTAAAACAGAACACTAGTTTATCTAAAAAATTTTAATATGTAAACTAAATTTGCATTGTCTCCCTCTTTAACCCTTTCACTGCTAAAGGCACTTATATGCCCCTGCTTCTAGAGCAATGCTATGCAAGTTTGGAATTTTATATCACCATAAGAAAGTAAAAGATTACCAGTTTCAAGTTTTAGATAAGTAACTAAATGTAACATCAAAAAAATGTGAATGAGCCTTACCTCATGAACAACAGACTTCTCAGAGCTGTGATACTCTTCAGGAACTGCCTCTCCTATTCTCCTATAGCCATGCTCCTCCACTGCTGAGCTCTGACTGATGCTGTACCCTCCATTTTCTTGAAGACCTCCAGACTTAGATAAAGTACTAGTTTGCATCATTGTAGTCTTCTTCATCATTACCATCGACTGAACTCTGAATGTAGACAGAAAAAAGAAGAAGATGCATTTCAAATCAAGAAACAATGGGGAGGAAGTAATATGAACTGGTTCTGTAAGCATGTCAGTTTCACAGTTCATTAATAATCAATGAAAACAGACATGAAATAATAAGTTCATACTGTTGTTTTTAGCTATTTATATGAGGCTTAAATGCAACTCTTATATGCTCTGCTGTAATTTCATTACTTTGTTTCTGAAAAAAAAAATTCTGTATTAGAATAAATTGGTTATTCAGTTTGACTCTTCTATGGAATATTCCCACAGATTTATTTGTGAATAATGATTGATATTGTTTGGTGCTGTGCCCACAGTTTTTAGCTTATAAGTCCTTAGACTTCCCATAGAATGGGGACTGTAATGCTAGAGGTTTTGTTTTCATAATTGACAAGTTCAATGTTTATGAGCCAATTGTCATTCAACAAAGAGCTAAACAAACTTACTATGCAGCAGCTGGCTGTGTTTAAGTGTGCACCCATGGTCAAAATGTTGTCATGTTCTATCTCTGAATAAATTTACAGTTTTTATGAAAATTAGTCATCCTGCTTTTATTTATTATTGCTTAAAAAATATGAAAAAGCACTTTTTGTTCTGATTACTCATAAATTATTGAGTGATTATTATGTGTACCCATTGACATAAAATCATATCTTTAAACTTTAAAAGAAATCATTAAATTGTACCAAAAATTTAACAAAAATCAAAATGGAAAAAGTATAAGATAAACTTAAAAATATTTTTGTAATATCCTTCTCTTACCATTTCAAGATTGATTTGTAATCATGATTTTTAGGAATTTGCAAAACTGTATAATACACTATATTTTAACCTGTTAATAACATCGCTTTATCATACAGACAACTTAAAGAACAAAAAAAAAAAGGAAATCAAAATAGCAGGATCAATTAATAAAAAAATAAATCAAAATGGCAGAATCAATTTATAATAAAAAAGGAAATCAGAATGGCAGGATCAATTTATAATAAAAAAGGATATCAAAATAGCAGGATCAATTAAAAAAAAGGAAATCAGAATGGCAGGATCAATTTATAATAAAAAAAAAGGAAATAAAAAAAAAAGGAAATCAAAATGGCAGGGTAAATTAAAAAAAAGGAAATCAAAATGGCAGGATAAATTAAAAA